GCAACCGGCGCTGCGCAAACGCGCGCGGCGGCGTCGGGTCTCGCGGGTGGCGGAAGGCTGGCGCCAGCCCCGGAACCACCCTCATTCCCAGGCTCGGGGCGGACTGGGAGGACTCACCTGCCACCCAGCAGCGCCGCCGATCTCCCGGCCGGGCCCAGCAGGGATCCGGGCCCGAAAGCCATGCCCGCCAGCGGTCACGCCGTCCACTTCGCCCCTGCCGCCCGCGGGCCGGAACTGCTGCGGAGCAGAGGCTTCTGGGATATGTAGTTGGTCCTGGCGTAGCAAGAGCCGCAGTTCTACACCTGCGCACCACAGCAGGGGCGCAGTTTTCCCTTTTGACCCATAGGTGGCAGGCGAACGGCGCCGCCTCGACCTGCGTGTACGTGCAAGACACCAAGTGCTACTGGGAGTTGTAGTTCTTCCTCCTTTTCACCGACAGAGGGTGCCCGGGGCTCGGCTGTGGCGCAGCTGGCTGGCGGCAGACACAGGAAACGGCTGGTTGGTCTTTTCACCCACAGCAGGAGCTGGGCAGATGGCACACAGCTGGTTGGCAGCCTTTCTCTGGCCGCAGCCAAATCTCCGCCCCTTGGCGGGGAGCCCAGGCGGACTGAGCTCGAGCTGGCGTGTCCTTGAAGCAGTCCCTGCGCCTCTTCGAGCTTCAGTTCCTCAGTCTTGACGACTGTGTGCTGCGGGATTGCCCTTGGCGAGCTTCACCCCAAGTCAGCCCCTGGAGATTTTTTTTTAAACTCAGATCTGCACTCTTCTCCGCTCACACGTCTTCCTCGGCTCTCCATTGCCCCAGGAAAAATACCCAGCTCCTCCCGCAGGCGGGCGAAGCCCTCGCTTCGGGCTTCCAGAACTTCAGCCACACCCTCCTCTCTGCCCGTACCTATCCCCCACCCCGAGAAATCTCCTAACCTCGTCCCTGATCCCAGTTGAACCCTGATCTGCTCGGGCTGTCCGTGGCTCGCTTCCGCAGCAGCCGGGCCTGAGCATATCCTCGGCATATGCCGCCTCGGGGCGGGCGGCTTGGAGCGTTTCCCCTGCATGAATAAACTGTGTAGTCTCCAGGAGGGCCCCAGTAGGCAGAAGTGGGTGGCTGGATCTAATCCAGCTCTGGCAGCAAATTCCAGGGGCTGAACACCAGCGAGCAGCGAGGAGCGCTTAACCCGTCGTCCTCCGAAGCCTGTTTAGCAGCCAGCGCCGCGACCACAGCGCCAGCGAGGCACGCGGCGTGCGCGGGCGTGGCGGTGGGGCGATGCCTGCCTAGCAGTCTCGCACGGGACACAGCAGCAGAGCGGACGAAACGGAGGCTAGGGGATGGCTGGGCCAAGGTCATACTTCAGCAAAGGGCAGAGGCGAGGGATTTGCACCCTGGGCTTTCAGCTCCCCCCTCTCGGGGCGGCTGCCCGGCTCAGCGGGACCTCAGAGCTGGGGTTTGTGCCGCTGGCCGCCAGCCCCTTCTGCAAGCACCGGTTCCCGGCTGGTTGTGCGATGCACTACCTAACTTCCCACAGCCCCTGCGCCTCCTAAAGAACAGTCCAGGACCAGGCATCGCACGCCGTGGGTGCACATGCCAGCCTGGCTCCTGCTTGACTTGTGCCCTTTGTGAAGCTCAGTTTCCCCGCTGAAACTGCAAAGATCTGGGCGTCTGTTTCTGGAATGAAAAGGTCAACTCCAAGAAAGGAGGAATGGGGGCTCCGTTGGGAGGGCACCGGGGGTTCAGAGGCAGGGACTGGCCGGGGAGACCCCTGCTCAGGGTAAGGGCCTGGGACTGGCCTCTTGCAGGAGTCGGGGCCTCAGGGCCCTGGCCGTAACCCCATCTACACCCTGGGCCAGGCCCCATCTCCCCCGCACCGCGCTGAGTCCCCAAAAGGGACAGTTCTGTTGCTTCCAGAGCCCGCCCCATCGTGGCATCGCCGGCTCTGATTGGACATCTAACTAGGCCAGCAGAGCTCTTGGCTGCGATAGGCCGAGGTGTCCGCCCGTCCGCTGGAGGGCCCGCCCCTCGGGGAGGGATTTAAAGGGCTGGCTGCTCCATCGTGGCGGCGGGATGTCCCTGCGCTGACCGCCCGCGGCCCGTGCTCGCCAGTGTAGACGCGCCCGGGCCGACCTCGCGCCACCATGTAAACGGCGCCCGCAGGCGGACGCTGCCTTCCGCGCCCGGGACCCCTCTGCCCAGCCACGGGCCCCGGGGCCCTCGATGAGGTGAGCTTGGTGTGAGCCTCCGGAGGGGCGCATCGGGGCCCCCGCGGGCTCCACCTCGGGGCAGAGGGTCCACGAAGCCGCGCTGGGGCTCCTAGGAGGCCACGGAGCCCCAGCGGGGGCTGCGACCCCGCTGCAGGGATGGTGGCACCCGGGGAGGGGGCCTGGCGCTCCCTGGGGTCGCGCTCCTCGGGCGAAGGCCCCCTCGAACGCGCGCGCGGCCTGCGTCCCGCGCTGCACCCAGGCCGGCGCGGGCCGGGTGTCCGGCGCTCATCACGCAGTGGCACCCGGGCCCGGGATGGGCACCAGGCTTGGTCCCTGCTGTAGGCCCTAGGCAATGAGGGTGCGCTGCGCGGGTACCTCCTGGAGTTATGTAACCTCCTGTGGTTGCCATGGACACGGGGGAGGCACCCAGGGGACCGGGATGGAGCCCGACAGGCCCCCAGCAGGTCCCCGCCTCCATCCTCATCACCAGCCCTGGAGCTCGTGTGGCACGACCCCAAGTCCTGGGGTCCTCAGCCCAGGGTGCTGAGAGCAGCTTCTTCCCGCGTCCAGGCCTCAGGAAACCCAGCAAGGCCTGCTGGGTCCTGTCCCCTCCCCTTCCCAGCGCCCCTCCTTCGAGGGTCGATTCAGAGCTGCAGCCCAGGGGTGGGATGGGCATTTAAAATGCCCTCGCAGGCTGGGGATATAGCTCAGTGGCATAAGCGCCTGCCTGGCAAGCGCAAGGTCGTGAGTTCGATCCCCGGTACCTCAAAAAAAATAAAATGCCCTCGGAGAGCTGGGTATGGGGCACATGCCTGTCATCTCAGCGCTGGGCAGGCTGAGGCAGGAGGATTGCCCTGAGTTTGAGGCCAGCCTGGGCTACACAGTGAGTTCAAGGCCAGCCTGGACTACACTGGGAGACCTTGTCTTGAAAAAACAAAAAGAGATAGAAAGAAACAAACAAAATTAGTGGAATGAATGAATTAGCAAGAGTGCATGAACGAATGAATGAGTTACTGAAAGGTCACAGGAATGAATGGAAACCTGGTCCTAGCAGGCCCTAACTGGCAAGGGGGGTCCTCAAGGCTGGGGCGTTGGCACGATGTTGCCCCCTGCGGGAAGGCCCCCATCTACCCCTCGGCCACCTGCTGAAATGGGCGATGGCCAGGCCTTCGAGGGTGGGGCCACCAGCAGCGCTAGCCTGCTCCGTGTGGGCTGGCCCTGGCGCCTGGGGTGCGGCCCCGCACCGCGCTCAGGCCCCTGAGCCGCCCGCTCCCCCCAGGACACGCCATGCTGACCGGGGTGACCGAGGGCTTCCTCTGCTGCCTGCTGGGCTCGCCGCCCAACGCCGTGGGGCCGCTGGAGAGCGTCGAGTCGGGCGACGGCTACACCTTCGTGGAGGTCAAGCCGGGCCGCGTGCTGCGGGTGAAGCACGCGGGC